TTATTAGAGCCACAGAAAGACAAATGTTTCACTGAAAAATGCACAATATACAATTTTACAGCCTAGGGTGAAGTCATGTATATTAACAACAATTTGGGACAAATATAATGTAATTTAATAGAAAACTGTGTGAGTGCCGCTTTGTGGCATGGTAGGATTTCTTTCAGCTGTATTTCAATTAAATTTCTATTTATTTATAAAGCACAACTGTCACAGTCTTCAGCCGGTGTGCCCAGGAGGGCCACCAGATGACTGTGTTCTGGGAGCACATGGCTTGTGTTGTGTTTGTCTGTTGCCATGTGCTCTCTCCTGTCTATTGTCTGGCCCCTCCCATCTTGTTACCTCGTTATTGTTTTAGTTGCTCCACCTGTGTCTCCCTCGTTAGCCTCCTCGTTTGGTTCCTATTTATTCTCCTTGTGTCTGCCGTCCTGTGCTGATCCGTCATTTTTCATGGTGTGTGTTTCGTGTCTGCATGTGTGCAGCTTTAGGCCTGCCTGTCCTATTTTTCTGTTTGTTTTTGTTTAATTTTTTGCTAAAATAAAATACCATTTCTCCAGCAATTGAGTCCTCGCTTCATCTCCCCGCACGTACCGTGACAACAACTAAACACAACGTTGACCAATGTGCTGTACAAAATAAATAACCATTAACAGAAAGAAGACAAGGACAAGGTCACAAATAAAACTCCCAAGACCCAAGTCAAAACAAATGCAAATCATGAATAATAAGCAAGATCAAATAAAAATGATTTTAACCTAGATTTAAAAAATGGATAGTGTAGGGGCTGTTCTGATTTCCATCGGTAGACTATTCCAAAGTCTCGGAGCGGCTACGGCGAATGCTCAATCAGCCCTAGACTTGAGTCTGGTTCTGGGAACCACTAAGAGCCTTAGATTGGCAGACCTAAGCACTCTTGCAGGTTGGTGGTCTTATCAACAGATCAGAGCGGTATGAGGGTGCTAAACATTTTAAAGACTTCAAAACCAGTAAGAGCAATTTAAAATTAATCCTGTAACGCAGGGGTAACCGATGTAAAGACTGAAGGACAAGGGTAATATGCTCACGCTTTCGAGTTCCCGTCAGGATACGTATGAACATATCTATGTGCTTTCTCACGTCACAGCTTTAAATCTGCAACTTCGCTGGCTAACAAATGCATTAATGTGGCCAGCTGGATATAAACTAATGCAAATAGATGGTAACAGTCATGACATTAAGGATTTGGATCAGACTTGCGTGTTTTGATCACAATGTTTTAATCATTTGAGGTGCTGCTAATGTTCACGTTCTCTCAGCCTTGATAGCAAACATTCTGCTGTTCTTTCTCCGCTAATGCAGCATCTAGTCAACAAATTAATTACTTAGTAATGATATGAAAACATGCACTACGGAATAATGTGTACACACCGTTTAGTTGTCGACATTTTTAATCCACGCGTCTGAAGTGTCGCGCTCTGTGCAGCGCGCAGTGTCACGAGTCAAAACAAACAGCACGTGGCGTCAGTGATTCCACCTCTAGTGGGCCGCTCTCGTACTGTATAATGACTGCAACAGACACAACCTGGAAAAACTATCGGCAGCAATCAACTATCGGTGCCGATTAATCAGCAAAACGATACATCAGTCGACCTCTAGTTGTTGTTTTTTTTATTATCAGTTTGTGTATATATTATGTGCAGTGCATTCTGGGATTGGCTTAGACATAGCGTACAATGCTGCCTTATAATTATAAGGTTTATTATGCCGTAGGTTTTTATCAAACGTTTTCTTTTTTTTTCTTTTTTTTTCTCAAAAGCTTTGGGAAGAACATATGGCCTCTCTGGTTGTAAATAGCTTAGCTGTACAACAAAGACTTACGTAAGAACCAGTCAATCCTTACGTTCCCTCACAGCCGAATCCATAAAGCTGAGATAGCTCCACACAGACAGATCCTTGGAGTCTTCTCATGTCTATCTATAGATTATGTCTCAGTTACTCTTGCTTGTCTTTCCTGCAAACTACATACCAGGTGCTGTTAGATAAAGCCATGGCATTATATTGAAATGTCAGATTTCTAGGGGCGCTCTGTTCAAGTAACCCTTCTTTTCACCCAGGGTAACAAATATTTTTCTCCCCTGAAATGCTTTTGTTTAAATGACATATGCTGCTTTTCCGCTATGGCTTGCACCGCGGTCCAAAATTCAATTAATGCAATTAAAGAATATTTCAGCAAAAATATTTAACAGTTTGGACAACTGAAATATGATTTGCATGCTCAGAATCAAGACTCGGGGTAGGGTGCGTATATTTCACAGCTCTGAGTGGCTCATCAGCTGAATTAACTAGCTGGCATTTCATGGGCCGCCTAAACGCATCAAAATGACAATGCCATAGAACGGACCAAATTGCAGAGTATCAATTTGTGTCAGACACTAAGGCTGCCCCTGGTGTTGTGGACAATTTGCGAGATGAAACTTGATTTAGGTGATGAAAAATGCACCAGACAGGATAAATAGAAATGATAATGTTACAAATAACAGCAATCATCGTCTAATCAATGTCTGGCAGTTTTCAGTCATGTTGAAGTCCTCAAGGTCATATTTGGGACTATGAGATGCTTGCGAGGATTCTGTGTGTAGCGTACGATCTCTTTCTCTCTTTCTCTTTCTCCATTCCCAGAATCCTCTATTCAGAGATTATCTGATGTTCCAATGTGTTCTACTTGATGTACAGCATAATGTAACACAACTTGGCTGCTGAAAATTCAGCTTTACCGTCATATAAATAAATGACACATTTTAAAATATATTCAAATAGAAAAATGTTATTTTAAATTATAATATTTTTCAATATTACCATTTTTTACTGTATTTTTAGTAAAATAAATGCAGCTTTGGTGAGCATAAAAGTCTTCCTTCAAAAATATTTTAAAAAATCGTACTAGGGCTGCACAATTAATTAAATTTCTAATCGCGATTACAATTACAGATGCCACAATTACGTAATCGTTCAAAGCGGCAATTAATCGTTCAAAGTCCACTTATGTTATTCTAAGTGCTTAAGATGTGTTTTTTTCTTTCTACAGGTTATCTTAAGGGTTTTTCCATTGTTTTAATTTTTGTTAGTATAACATTATAATACCATGCATGTTTTTACTTTTTTTATTATTTAAAGAAGAAACCAATCCAATGTACAGTTGACATTTGAGCCTTAATGCTATAGAAAAGCAATAAAAGTTTTTTCTCTTTGAGTGTTTTCAGCTTGTTTATTTTCATATAAAAATATGGCATGCAGTTCCTTCAAACAATGGTATAAACATCGTTCAATGTAAATTGTGATAATCGTAATTAAAAATCGCAATTACAATTTCAACGGAATAATCGACAATTATGATTTTTGTCATAATCGTGCAGCCTTAAATCGTACTGAACCCAGGCGTTTGAATGGTAGTGTATTTATTTAAAAATATATATTTGATTTCTATATATTGTCTGTGTGTGTAAATCTCAAAATTTCCAGTTGATATAATATCTTAAATCATTTTGCTTTTAAATATCTCTTTGTATTACTTGATTACAGAAAAAAAAAAAAAAACATTATTTGAATACATTTTCGTTGCGCCCATAATGTTTTTTAATGTGCTTCTAAATAATTCAATTTAAGAGCATGTGTGCCTTGGGGAAAAAAGTAAGCCTCAAGCCCTGGTAAAACTAAGCACTTGCTCAGAGCACATGGCCGGGTGTCTACGTTCACACTGCAGGCAAATGTGGCCCAAATCTGATTTTTTTTCTCACTTGTGACTCAGATCTGTTTTTGTCATGACAGTGTGAACAGCACAAACCGCATGGAATCTGATCTTTTCGATTCTGATTTGTGCCACTTCCATATGTGTTACTAAATCCGATCCATGTCAGATGTTTTGCAATGTGACCGCAGTGTGAATGGTCATGTCAGATTTCATGCAGCTTTTACGTCACTCTAGATCGACATTCATCATAATTCCGCGCTAACGGGAGACACTTCAAACATTTTACATACCCAAAGTTATCAAGACAGTAGCGAAAGGTAATAAGTGGAAGTGTGATGTGTCAGAACTCATGTGTGTTACAGTGACAACTCTACAAGCAAAACATGAGGGCTCGTATCATAAACGTTTCAAAACTCTGCTTTCTTTTGTCACACCCTTGTCTTTATTTTTTCATATTGCCTGCACATAATTTCGCTGGCTTCTGCAGCAGATCACACTATAAATAAACGCATAATCGCTTACTTTATATCCGCCGTGTTTACTTCCATATGACGGCGCGCTGGGCAAGTGTTGCCAAATCCACATTTTCCCAGCGGATATGGGCTACTGTTTCCTCTGTTGCCGCGGGATGTTTTTCAACTTTGTGGGTTGACACGACCCCATGATTGGGCTAGTTTTGAGAAAGAATTGGGTGGATTTTGTTGTGAAAATCTGGAAACCCTGTTCATATCGTTCTTTTGCGCGTGCGGGTCAGTTCAGAACCATGATCTATTCACACTGGAAATCTGATATTGGCCACATTTAAAACAACAATGTGAACAGCTATACAAAAAAAATCGGATCTGAGAACTAAGGCTCGCACTGTGAATGTAGTCAGTGTTTCAACTGACAGGCACTAGGACCCAGAGCACAATGTCAGATTTGGGAAGCAGGCAGGGGGCAGGACTTGCTTCCTCAGAGCTTTTGTGGTAGAAAGTGCCATTGCAGCTTTGTAAACCTATTACCATAGTTATCAAGAAAACCAGACCCACATGCTTGTGCCAGCACAGCCCGAGTCAATTACCATTGAGAGACAGTCATTTGCAGGCAGTGGCCTGGCCTATTGGTATTATCACAGGTCATATTTGAATAAAGTCACATTTCCTGGACTCTCTATTTAGCATCCAGCATAAAAAAAATAATTTGCATATTCATATTTATTATTTTCGAAAGCCAGATAAAGATATCCCATATGTCATCATCATTCAGTGATTCTTTTCTTACATCCACACAGGTTGTTTACAAAAACAATGACATCCGGCTGGAACTCTCCCGGCTCGCCCGCATTGTGGATCCCAAAATGAAGATTCAGGGAGATGTGGTGTTCAAGTGCGAGAACGTGGCCACTCTGGACCCCATCTCATTCGAGACGCCCGAGTCCTACATCAGCCTACCCAAGTGGAACACCAAACGCATGGGCTCCATATCCTTCGACTTCCGTACCACCGAACCAAACGGCCTTATTCTCTTCACCCACGGGAAGCCGCAGGAAAGAAAGGATGCCCGTAGCCAGAAGAACACAAAAGTGGACTTTTTTGCAGTTGAGCTTCTGGATGGAAGCATGTACCTGTTGCTGGACATGGGCTCTGGGACTATCAAAGTGAAAGCCACACAGAACAAGGTGAACGACGGGGCCTGGTATCATGTGGACATCCAACGAGATGGGAGATCAGGTCAGTGTGTGGATTCTCAGACAAATACACTCACTTATTTATTCCTATTACTATTAATGCTGAACACATTTAATAAATGCCTTATTTTTTTTTTTCAAAATCCAGTATACTTTTTATTGTATATAATATTTATGTACTTTATCAATTTTATTTAATTAATTAATTAATTAATTTTTTTTAACTAGCATTTGCACTATTCTGTGTTGCAGTAAAGCTATTATTGTTGGCACATTTGATAGCTTTTGATTTTTCTTTGTATAAATGTGAAGTTAAATGTCAATAGATATAGAAATTAGAAATATAATAATAATTATTGTTATTATTATTATTATTATTTTAGTGTTGTCAAATCAATCGCGATTAATTGTATAAAAAAATAAAAGTTTGTGTTTACATAATTTGCAAACCGTATGTGTGTGTACTATGTATATTTATATGTATATTTAAATACATATAAGAAATATTTGCATGTTAATATATATATTCATATTTATATATGATTTATATTATACATAAATATAAATATATATTACAGATATTTCTTAATATATACATGTATGTGTGTATTTATTTATATTAATATTTATAATATTTATTTATTAAATAAACAGTACACACACATATATTATGTAAACACAAACTTTTATTTTCGATGTGATTAATCGATTTGATTATTATTATTTTTATTTATTCATTTATTTTTAATGGTAATTCATTGTTTATTTAGCTTGTTTGTTGCTTATGTTAACATGTTACAGTATTAAAGTATAGTGTAGGAGAAATATAGGTACAATGAGTGTTTTTATGCAGAGCCTATTTTTTGCTCTTTGTACATTGCTGAATATTATATGGCTGTTAATAAAGGAAATATTCACTATAGTAACCCAAAATCACTACATAGTATTTATGGTAAAAAAAAAACAATTTGTTAGGAGCACAAAGCAAACCCACTATTGTGGTTGTGCTGTTGTTTCATTTGCCTTATGAAATAGACCAAAAGGTAGGAGACATTTAGGTCTGGCCTTGTATATCTAAAATGACCTTGTAAATCTAATTTGCGAATGAAATGACTTTGAAATGAAATTCAAGAAAAAATATATTTAAAATGGATTTCCATGTGGGAAATATGCTCTTAGAATTAAAGACATTACCCATAAATTGTATCTCATTTTAAAAACCATTTTTAACTGAGCACATGAAGAACTCCCACTTTGTTTCATTATTAAATCGGTCGGATACTGTAATTGCTTGTGTGTTTTCCATAGGCGTTAAGCTCTGCAGCCCAATGATAACAGCTTTAAACAAAAAGCACAGTGGTTAGTCACCAATAATGGACAGATTTAGTCCAAAGCAGGCTGACATTTTCATTTAATTTCACATCTACTTTGACATAACTTTCTATTAGGTTTTATCCCCTTTATCGTTCTCTGTATCCTCCTTCACCTCTTTCTTTCTTTCTTGGCCCTTGAATCGCTGGCACTCTGTTTCTGAATTGATCAACGACTACTCCATATCACTTCATAGCACAGGGCCCTTGGGAGGTCTTGTAGGATATCAATAATGCAAGGTTTTAGACAGAGCCATGTGGGGGACTGGACCAGTGTCAGTTCTGAAGAGATTATTCCCATTGATCCCTGGTTCCCCACATGGGATGCATCAGTGTGTCTGTATGAGGGACGCCGCTTTACAAGATTCACACACTCCCCATGAGGTCATAAATAGAAAATTATTTTCTTGTAGCCCCCCTCTCCCTCAATCACATACTCTATGGATAGTGTTTCTATCCCTATCTTTGTCTCTTGTGGACAGGATAGACACACAACAGATTGTCTTAGTCTGAACCCTGCTGGATTACGCAGTGCAGTAATTTACAGTACTTTAGTTTACAGTTTATAGTCTCTTCACATTAAAAATGCATTTATTTTTTTTCTTATTTTTTTTTTCTCACCTTCACTAAAATGTTTCCATCCACCTCACAGGTGTGGCATATCAAGATGCTGATTAGACAGCATGATTATTGCACAGGTGTGCCTTAGGCTGGCCACAATAAAAGGCCACTCTAAAATGTGCAGTTTTACTGTATTGGGGGGTCCGGAAACCAGTCAGTATCTGGTGTGACCACCATTTGCCTCACGCAGTGCAACACATCTCCTTCGCATTGAGTTGATCAGGTTGTTGATTGTGGCCTGCCAATGGCTGTGCGAAGTTGCTGGATATTGGCAGGAACTGGAACACGCTGTCGTATACACCGATCCAGAGCATCCCAAACATGCTCAATGGGTGACATGTCCGGTGAGTATGCTGGCCATGCAAGAACTGGGATGTTTTCAGCTTCCAGAAATTGTGGACAGATCCTTGCAACATGGGGCCGTTCATTATCATGCTGCAACATGAGGCGATGGTCATGGAAGAATGGCACAACAATGGGCCTCAGGATCTCGTCACGGTATCTCTGTGCATTCAAAATGCCATCAATAAAATGCACCTGTGTTCGTTGTCCATAACATACGCCTGCCCATACCATAACCCCACCGCCACCATGGGCCACTAGATCCACAACGTTGACATCAGCAAACCGCTCACCCACACGACGCCATACACACTGTCTGCCATCTGCCCTGTACAGTGAAAACCGGGATTCATCCGTGAAGAGAACACCTCTCCAAAGTGCCAGATGAAAACTTGTTGAACCAAAATTCTTTGGTTATGCACTCCGATTGTTGCAGCAGCTGTCCGGGTGGCTGGTCTCAGACGATCTTGGAGGTGAAGATGCTGGATGTGCAGGTCCTGGGCTGGTGTGGTTACACTTGGTCTGCGGTTGTGAGGCCGGTTGGATGTACTGCCAAATTCTCTGAAACGCCTTTGGAGACGGTTTATGGTAGAGAAATTAATATTCAATTCACGGGCAACAGCTCTGGTTGATATTCCTGCAGTCAGCATGCCAATTGCACGTTCCCTCAAAACTTGCGACATCTGTGGCATTGTGCTGTGTGATAAAACTGCACATTTTAGAGTGGCCTTTATATATATATATATATATATATATATATATATAAATTTTTTTAACCAGTTTTAGCATTATGTATATACTATTATAGTATTATATAGTATAATTTGAACTAGCTTTTATTATTACACTTCCAGTTTTTAATTTTAGTTTAAAAACAAATTGCTCTTAACATTCTGATCTATTTACATTTTACTTACTTTACCTTTTTTTATCAGACATTTTTAGCCCAAAATAACGAATGAGAAAAATCACAAGCAATGTATCATACAGTTGGCAACAATATTAGCATTACTGCAATACAGAATAGCGCAGAAGCTAGTTAAGAAAATAAGTTGCCATGGCAACATTTCTAACTCATTTTCATTTTATTTATTTTTTTATCTTATATTTTACTTATTTTCTTGCAGCTGTATTTCAATTAACAAATGTGATTTTTGTCAATAAAATAAAATAACTTTTGGGGACAGTTTAGGGGTTAAATGCACAAACCTAAACTGTTAAAAAACTAATTGTAACATTACTGGACCACTAACAATAACTGTGTGAATGTGTTTTATGTATTTTATGGCTCATATAATCTCTGTCTCTCTTTATTTTGTTTTAAAACAGTAATATTACAAATGTTGCTTCTTTAGCCCTTATTTATTTTTAAAAACGAGCTTCTATGCTCTGTACTGTAATATAGCTAATATTTTTGGCACCTTTATGATAAACTGCTTGTGATTTTTGACATCTGGGGCTTTGGGGTAAAAATGTCTGATAAACAAATGTAAATTTAAATGCAAATAGATGAGAAATTAAAATGAAAATAACAATAATAATAATTAGGCTCATGTTCCCTATCAAGAACAAAAATTAGTTCAATTAGGGTTGGGTATCGTTTGAGTTTTTTCAATACTCAATACTGGCAATACTGCCAAATTGATACTTTTAAAACAGTTCCGGTGCCTAAACGGTGCCTTAAACGATACTTATTAATAAATAAATAAAAATTCCCCAAAAAATTATGGATTGGCCATTAGCACTATAAACACATGATGTCTGTTTCATTCATACTGGACGCCAGAGGGTGCCCTTGCACAGAAAATCCACATATCCAGTCACAGAAGTAGCGGAACTCATGACCCTCCAGGAAATCCCTTATATGGACAAAGACATTGCTATTATAGCTGTAACTGAGTAAACAGAACATATAAACCTTTTGAATGATAAAACAAAGACATTAAACACTCGACTGCGACAATATAGTTTATCTGTGTTATTCAAGCCATCTCTGGTATTTTCATAATAATTTAGTATATTTATAATCCATTGCTAATCGATGTATTCTTTTTAAAGTAGCTTATGGAACATATTTTCTGCCTCCTCTGTGACAAGAAGCCACATCAGATCACAAAAGGAAGCATTTGACTGGTGTTGTGGAGTAAAAAGGTTATAATGTTCTCTTTTGTTGGACAACAGGTTTAGAAATGTGAATACAAGGGACGTTTATCTTTAGGCATTTTAATTTAAGCATTTAGCTTAGTTAACGGAAGGCTACCTGCTGCCATCAGAGCAAGTGTAATTACTGCATTCACGCGCTCCTCGGATGCTCTCATTTCCCGAGCTGTGCCTTTAAGTCGGAATGTGAAAACAACGTAGACACTCTCGTTACTACAAAGATTTGTTGGATTTGTATTAGAGCTTTCCGACTTGAGTTCACATGCATTTTCTCAGTCGGGAAATTATTTTTCACGTGCGGTGCCGGTGATGATGCTTCTTACATCCATTTCGGAGAACCAGAGGACAGATATTTCAACCGATTGCTCAGGCATGGCACCGAAATGAGGCACCAAAATCTGCATTCTGATTCGGTTCTAGTACATACCGGTTACATAGGTACCAGTGCCATATTGGTACCAGGTTTCGGTACCCAACCCTAGTCTCAAGAGGATACAAAGTGTCAGACGTAGCAGACATCGACATGCATTGTTTTGCTCTTGTACTGTCA